GCATAGCGAAGGTTAATCCGGAACGGATTAACCTCGCTATGCAAGGCACCACTGTACCTTTCCCAAACTTGCTTGTATACTTTTGCTGGAAATGCGGAGGACTGACCCCAAAACGCTTCTCAATATTCAGAAGTTGTGCTATGCTCTGGCCATGGACCTGGCCTGCAGCCCCTTCTCTTCCACCCCAGAACTCATATTAACAGGCATAAAGGTCCCACAGAGGACTTGCGTCTGGGGCTCACCAGCCCGGGACAGAAACAGCTTCAACAAAGCTGCCGCCTGTTAAGCCTTTGAACCAAGACAGACACGTAGCGCGACAGGGTGGTACAAAAAGCCAAAAGAGCAACTTACACATCACCAAAAGATGGAGCACAGATCGGCGTACAATTAGAAAATATTAATTGAAGTGTATCAATGCAAAATTAGAAAAGTAGTGTCCCCCGCGGTAAGGAGAGCAACATTTTCAGCTGCTAGCACCAGTGAAGTGCCATTAAAGGCGCAGGAAGAATACAAAAGTCAATGAGCAATTTTTAGCCAGGATGGCTAAATTTGCCACTAAAATTAAGGGTGTGATCCAAGGGTGAAATACAACGCATTGTGGACCTCTTGGGACAGTGTTGGATACATTAGCCATTTTCTGTTGATCAGAAGCCGTGCAGGAGATTTTTGGTCCAGCAACAGGACTACTCCTCTTTGGAAATCTTGGGACTTGGGTCAAAAGACTTGGGACTTGAGACCTGATACCAAAGACGTGCCAACATCCCTGGAGATTAGGGGACCCCAAAGTTGCCCAAACACAGTTAGCAGGTGAATCACAGAAATCACCAGGCATCGGGTTCAATGGGAACAGCAAGGACTGTCCGTATAGGCAGTGATGAATCCACAGGGACAACGGATGAAGTGGAATGTGAGCATTTCAAACCGGATAGACGAGGAGGGACAGCACTTTGCCACGAAGCGGCCCCCTTTAAAAACACAAAAAAAGCTGTCTGGCTGTGTGTTAAATTTACACAGCAAAGAGGCGGGATGAGAATCTCTTCACAGTTAAGGCACCAGTAAATTGTGTTAAAGGACTCTGGGTCTATAATCTTGCCTAAGCTCATTAAAAAAATGCCTTGGAAAAAAAAATCAGGCCAAAACCCAGAATTCTTTGCAAGAACCCCAACTGCTTGGAGGCAAGAAAAGGACCATCAGGAAACAGCCAGCAGTATCCTGATCTTCTCTCCCTCCTGCTACCACCGACACACATTGCTCAGACTAAAGCTTCTTCCCCTCCCGGCCCTGTTGCTAAACGTCAGTGTGGTTTAATGCCAACACGTCTCTGAAGTGACTTTCAAGAACGGTTCACACTCCCGTTTTTAGCTCAGGCGATGAGGATAGTGCAGCTATAACTTGAATCTCTTCTTTGCTGCTGCCGCTGCTGTTTTCCCTTCTGTGGGCACTGGTCAGGTTGCCATGTTTCTTAACCAGCCTTGCTCCTCTGCTTTAACAGCAGCCCATTGATCAGAGGTGCCGGTCACTTGGCACCCCCAACCCAACCTAATACTTGACTTTCCTGCTAGCAAAATGAGAATCGATTCCATTTCTGTTAAAAACACGGGAACAAGGTTGTTTAGCTTTCTCAGGCGGTAACACTCCTCCCATGTCGTGGTTGTGTATTGTGTCAGCCTGCAATTTCTAAAGATGAGATCCCACATGGATCAGAGCTTAGGTATGTTAACTAATTTGGGGGCTCCAAGCTCCTGGAATTCACCCAGCAAGCCTGCCTGGTTCAAGAACCTGCCCTCCTAAGAATGATTTTCTGTGATCTTATGGTGATGAATTAAAAGCAAGAAGGGATTTCCCAGAGAAGGGAGCAAAATCAGACTGCAGCCGCTGGGTACAGAAATGGACCATGATGAACTTTTTTTTTGTCTCAAAACTCAGTGATGCAGCCGTACATTTTGGGGCACACGTGCTTAGCCTGACGGTTTACAAAGCGAATCTAAGAACACAGCCATCACGACAAGCCACCACCTCTTCGGCAAAGCTAATATGTCTTAATCATCCACCCAAAGGCCAAAACACCTGAACATGTTTTCACATTGAAAATGCATTACATTGGGCAGGAACTGGCAAGAATGTACTGTGGCTGAGAAATTTCACACACAGATACACCGATCTGTGGCCAGGATGCAGACTGCAGTTAAGCCCAAAGAGAAGCAGGGCTGGGAGACGCCGTGATGATTCCTGCTCATCGAAACATCTTTGCTCCTCCGACTCCCCCAAGTCTGCTACATCAGTTCTTCTTAAGTCCTGGCCCTCCAGATGTTTTGAATTTCAGTTTCAAGAATGCCAGCTACGGTTTCTGGGACTGGAAGTCCAGAACATCTGGAAGGTCAAAGAAGGAGATGCTCTTTTGAGCTGTTCTTTTGACAAATTTACCAGTTTAGAGAAAGAAGTACACCCTGGACTTTTACCTGGAGATCACGTTCTAGATTAATAGAGTCTTCTTCTTTGGATATTAAAAGCAGGGGTTGGCTGGCTCCCTAAACCCACAAAATGTTGGTTTTAAAAATCTGTTTGTTTTGCAACCTCGGAGGCTGCCTGCAGTTTGTTTGATTGGGAGGGGCTTTTTTGGGCGGGAGTGGCTGTCAATCTACCCAACACTAACCAGTTTTCCCCTCCTTCCCCTGATTTGAAGAAAGCCCTACCTCTCTGTGGGTACAGAAATGGACCATGATGAACTTTTTTTTTGTCTCAAAACTCAGTGATGCAGCCGTACATTTTGGGGCACACGTGCTTAGCCTGACGGTTTCTCTCTCTCTCTCTCTCTGTTGTCTGTTGAAAGCAGACGGTCTGTAGAGGCCTGTTGCTCAAAGCAGTCACGTTTATTAGCTTGCTGCAATCCGTTCACTGTACATAAATTGAACCTTTTCATTCTTTCTACTCTTAATGTCTCAGCATTACGTTGGGCAGGAACTGGCAAGAATGTACTGTGGCTGGGAAATTTCACACACATATACAAAGATCTGTGGCCAGGATGCAGACTGCAGTTAAGCCCAAAGAGAAGCAGGGCTGGGAGAGGCCGTGATGATTCCTGCTCATCGAAACATCTTTGCTCCTCCGACTCCCCCAAGTCTGCTACATCAGTTCTTCTTAAGTTCTGGCCCTCCAGATGTTTTGAATGTCAGTTTCAAGAATGCCAGCTACAGTTTCTGGGACTGGAAGCCCAGAACATCTGGAAGGTCAAAGAAAGGGATGCTCTTTTGACAAATTTACCAATTTAGAGAAAGAAGTGCCCTGGACTTTTACCTGGAGATCACATTTTAGATTAATAGAGTCTTCTTCATTGGATATTAAAAGCAGGGGGTTACTGGCTCCATAAACCCACAAAATGTTGATTTTAAAAATCTGTTTGTTTTGCAACCTCGGAGGCTGCCTGCAGTTTGTTTGATTGGGAGGGGCTTTTCTGGGCGGGAGGGGCTGTCAATCTACCCAACGCTAACCAATTGTTCCCTCCTGCTCCTGATTCGGAGAAAGCCCCACCTCTCTGCTCTGTTTTTCTCTCTCTCTGTTGTCTGTTGAAAGCAGCCGGTCTGTAGAGGCCCGTTGCTCAAAGCAGTCATGTTTATTAGCTTGCTGCAATCTGTTGACTGTACATAAATTGAACCTTTTTATTCTTTCTACTCTTAATGTCTCAGAGTGAGCTACTGAGACTGTAAGTGCCAGTTGATGAGAAGAATATAGGTGGATTAATCTGGGGAATTAAACCAAAAAATTCAAAACTATCCAGTACAGAAGGCCTGCCACCTCATAACAGCTGCTGTATTCTCTTTGCACAGAGGAGAAGGGCTCCTAGCCCAGTGGTGAAGAACATGCTTCACATGGTTTGGGGTTTAATTCCCATCATCTCCAGTGAACTGGCCAGGTAACAGGTGGAGGAGAAGACGCCTGCAGCAGCCTCAAGAATGTTGCTGCCAGCCTGGGCGTGCAATACTAGGTTAAAAGGACACAGCCTCTCAATCACTACCATGTAGCTTCATGCATCTACCCACAAGGGGCATACTTTGTCTGGTGCTTTTTCAGGAGGCGCCCTACCCAGGGACCCCATAGATCCTGCAGCTGGCACCAGGAGTGAGCAGGACTCTCCTTCGGTACCACTGAAGATGGGACAAGAAGAAAATTGTGGAAAGAACAGGACACTGTGGTGGCACGGCTTCCTGTAGCCTCTGGCAGGCAGAACCTCTAGGTTCCAGTCGGTTAACCTTGAAACCCCCGGCCCATAAAGCCGAAAGGCAGAACCAGGACTATCTGGAGGAGCTACATCACAGTGGGAGAGTGTCTGTTTTGCATACGGAGGTCCCAGGTTCAATCCTTCCCACTTCCATGTAAATGGACGTTGAGTCCTAGATGATCTGAAAATGCTGGGAAACCCAGCCAGTCCAAAGCAGACAGGGCTGGGTTAGGCCTCCCTAAGACAGTGAGCTATTTCTAGTATGCTTCCTAGCCCTTGTCCGGATAGAAAAGGATTCGTTCCAACCCGAATCTTCGTCCTAAGGCTGATTTACAGTGGATGGTCTTGAAAAAGAAGAGGAACAAGGCACCTGAGCATGTGCAGAGACCCTCTCTTTCATCCCTTCCTGACTCAAGCCGCCCACCACACAGTTTGGATATGGGTTCAAATGTCATGCAGGGAAGCGTCATGCGTTTCTAATCTGCTTTGAACCCTGGCGCGTCCCTGCCTATGGAGGAACCGCCGCCTGGAGGAGGTTCCCCCAAACCTTGAGCACCTCGAGAGGTTCTGAGCTTCAGCTCCTCTCAGGCCCACCACCACGACCACCACCACCAGCATCCCCCCCAGCCCATCGTGGCCAGGAACAATGGGGTTTCTGGCCCAAAATGCACATCAGAAAGCTCCAGGCCTAATCCCAGCTCCGATCTCATGGCGTGGAGCACTCCATCCTTCTCCAGATCCTATGGGGAGGACGGGAGACCCAGCTGGAAAGGCGTTGACCCACCTGTTCAGTGGCAGAGGCTGAAGCTCCTCTTTTTGGAAGCAGGCAAAGCAGAAAGAATCCATGTCCTCGAGGCGGGAAGGAAGGGGTTGCACCTGACCGGGCCACCCTCGGCGGTTGCGGCCGTTATTCGCATCTTCCCTGGAGCAACGCACGACCCCACTCAGCTGTCCTGCCTGAGCAGCTGAGAGGCAACATCTCACAAGTCGACGTCCTCTCTGGTTCCCCACCTCTGCTTCCGGCACGCAGAACCCGCTGCTTCTCTGGCCATGCTGGGAGATGACCGGGGAACGGCCAGCGCTGAAGAGAGGAAGGGGGTGTTGCTCAGGGATGGCGGGGACAGCAGTCCTGAGCTAGGAAAAGTTACCGCCTTGTTTGCTTTGCGCCTTCTTGAGATCCCTTACAGCTGGGACCGTAACCGAACCCCTCTCCCTTCCTCGTGGGCTTTGCCCTGTCCATTTTATCTTGAGGAGGTCCCGCAGCCTTTCTGCCAGCCCTTCCTTGGGAGTCCCTGTTCCTCAAGAGTCACTGCAGACCTCCCAGAAGTTTCCTTTCTCCTCTTTGCAGCCAGAAAGGAGGCCTCTGTGTTTTCCTCCTAGCCGGTCAGTCTTGAAGGCAAGCTCTCTCACAGTGGAGATGGACCTCAGTGGTCCCTCGGCTGGTCCAAGCGACGAAGAGCCTGAGGTCCCTTCGGCGGAGATGCAGGCGGTGCCAAAACTGCCCCCGAAGCCCAGCCACACTCACCCATCACCACATCCCGGTCCTCCGTCTGAGAGAAGCGAGAGTGTTCGATGCACAGCTCCCCACTGGAAAATGCTCTCTCTTTTTTTGGAGGGTTCGCAGTGAAGCCCCAGAGGAAGGTTCGCCAAGCCGGGCTTCGCTGCCCAGCTGTCCAAGCTGGTCCAGAGGACAACTTTGCCTTGAAGAAAGTTTCCTCGTCAGCTCTCTCCAGGGCTGGGGTTGTCCTTCTGGCGCACAGACAGGGAGGGCACTGGGGAAGAGGAGGATGAGCGGTGGGCGCAGGTGGGTATGGACCCGCAAACAGGTGCACGTGAATGAGAGCAAGAGAGAGACAGAGCGCCAGAGAGAGAGAGAGAAAAGGATTCCTCCGTGCCCGACTGGAGTCCCAGAGAGCAGCAGCCCAGACCGGCCAAGCGCCAGCCCGCTCGGCTTTGCCCTGGCAAGGCAAACCTCTGGACCTCTGGCAGAAGAGACCCACATCTACGAGGGCTGGTCTCATTGACAGAGCAGCCAGCTCTCTCTCTCTCTGACAGATAAAGCACGGCGGGTATTAATAGCTCAAGATTCACGCAGAGAGAGAGAGGCGGGAGGGTTAACTCTTCCACTGCCAGCGCTCTGGCCCTGTCAGTCCACGCTGCCTCTCAGAGACCGAACCTCTCCAGGTTATGGGCCCAGATTGGACAGCAGCCCAGAAATCCTCTCCATGCAAGACCATTTTCCCTAGGAAGGGGGGACTCAACCCTTGGCATCTCTTTTGCCATTTTCCTCTGCCACGTTCCTGTCCCTCTGACAAAAGACAAGTCTGCAGGCATTTAGTGGGAGATGCCGCCCACCCGCCTGGGCAATAAAGCAGGAGCAACAACATCATCTGTTAATAGCTTCTGTGTCAGACACCGGTCACAATAAATGGCTTTTGTTGCAGGCCAAGCTTGGGAACGCTGGTTTTTGGGATCCAGTGTTTGGAAAACCACCACTAACCACCCCAGGTGAAGATGGTCCCTGGGCCATTGAAGGAGGATTCTGGGATCAAAGGTAAGGCAAAGGTAAAGGTTCCCCTTGACAATTTTTGTCCAGTCGTGTTCGACTCTAGGGGGCGGTGCTCATCCCCGTTTCCAAGCCACAGAGCCAGCGTTTGTCCAAAGACAATCTTCCGTGGTCACATGGCCAGTGCGACTTAGACACGGAACGCTGTTACCTTCCCACCGAGGTGGTCCCTATTAATCTACTCGCATTTGCATGCTTTCGAACCACTAGGTTGGCGGCAGCTGGGACGAGTGACGGGAGCTCACTCCGTCGCGTGGATTCGATCTTACGACTGCTGGTCTTCTGACCCTGCAGCACAGGCTTCTGCGGTTTAGCCCGCAGGGCCCCACGTCCCTTTGCGCCACCACATCCCTGGGATCAAAAGCCATCGTTAATTCTCTCCCCCACTCCAAAATGCAATGTAAAAGCTACAAACTCAAGAAACAATTTTATACCAACTCCTCACCAGCCTACCTTACAGGAAAACACAGTTAATTTTGTCTTTGGGGACTGGAGATATTTAAGATGTAGTTAGTAATGCCTGGATAGAAGACTACCAAAGAAAACCAGGGATCTCCATGTAGGGCTAGAAGACTACGCCACCTGAAATTGTGAAAGACCAGCTGCAGTCAGAGTGGACAGACCAAGGGTATTATCATGTATAAAGCACGTTCTTCTTTGTGTTGTAAGTCTTAAATAAATAAATAAATAATTAAAATGTTCTTCTTTGTGTTGTAAGTCCGCTCCTTGACCAGTTCTCCCACTGAGCCACAGTCCTTCTCCAAAAACCTGAAGCCATCCGTTCCACCCCAAAGGTATGCTCTTAAAGGTACCAAGCAGAGTTAAGGTCACCAAAGAAGACTTAAGCCAGGTGTGGAGAATTTTTGTCTCTCCAGATGTTTAGGGCTAGAACTCCTCACTCCCACTGTCCATGCTGGTTCGGGGGTTTCTATAGGCTGGCACATCATCAGATGAAGTTTTCCTCTCTTAAGGGATCCAGAAGCTGCATCAGTTCTCCATTGGCATCGATAACAAGGGATCAACAGTCAAATATCCCCTTTCCCTGTTCTAGTTCCTTCTTTTCCTTGAATTTGCGTGAACACAGAACTCCAGACCATTACTTTAAGGATAAAAAGCTCCCAGAATCCTCCAGCTTTCATGGCCAGTGCTTGGTGATCTGGCTAGTAGCCATCCTGGATGGAGGACATGGTGATTTCTAGCCCCCCCCCCAAAAAGGGACAGACTTCAGTTCTGGTTCATTCAATACTTTCTTGTGTGTCATATTTATTCCGTATTCTTTTGGTTCTAGGCTGGTTGGACTACTGCCTAGTCTATGGCAAGGACCGGTCATCCCGAGCACCTAATACGGTCTTTTTATCTACAGATGCAGCCTATTAATCATGGGCCAACCCATCAATTCTGATTATGGTGACTCTTTTCAGGGTTTTCCAGGTAGAGAATGTTCAGAAGCGGTTTCCTCTTCCCTTCTTCTGGAGCTAGGTCTGGAACTTCGCAGCTTGCCCAAAGCCACCCAGGCTGGCCCTTCTCACAGAAGGCACAGCGGGGGAATCAAACTCTCAACTTCTGGCTCCCAACTTCAAGCTCCAAATGTCTGGATACCTTAAACCACTGAGCTATCCAGCCAGTTTATGCTGGCGGCAGAGTCGGAAGCCGGCTGTTCAATTCCACGCTGCGCCTCCTAAGGGAAGAATCAGCCTGCGTGGCCATGGGCAAGCTGCATAGTCCCTAGAAGAAAGGAATGGTAAAATACTTCTGTGTATTCTCTACCTAGAAAACTCCAGAAAGGGTTGCTCTAAGTTCGAATTGCCTTGACGACATGCAGTTGTTATTATTGTGAATGTGATAAATGTTCACAACCGACAGGTATTGGGTCTAAAAACTAACATGCAGCAGGAACAGGTTAATAATAGATCCTGCAGAAAAGAAGAGGCAGAAATCTCTGGATGCAAACACTGATGTATGTGCATAACAACTTTTATTCTTTTAACCTTTCAGCATTTGACTCTGTGATTCTCCAGTAGGTCTGCACAGCCTTCCTGTGCCAGTAATTTATTTTTCAAGGCCAAACAGAGGCTGAGCTTTTCCCTTCCACAAGGTGTGCAGTAGAATGAGATGAAAGACTCTCAAGAAGCTGGATACAGAAAAAAAACTTAACTGCTAGAGCAGTACAACAATTCGAACCCATGGCCTCAGAGGGAGGTGGCGAGCGCTCCAGCGCCGGAGGCATCCAGTGGCGAGCGCTCCAGCGCTGGAGGCATCCAGGAGAAAATTGGACCGCCATCTCTCAGATCTAATTTGATTTGGATTCCTGTCTTGAGCCTGGGGGTTGGACTGGATGGCCTTATGGGTCCCTTCCAACTCAGCTATACTAGTATTCTATTTCATTATCCTACATCGTTTCAGAGGGGAATCAAAGTTTGGGGTATTTCCTTCTTCGTGTGCACATTTTAAACCTTCCCTGCAAAAAAGTAATGCAACAAGGGATAGGAGAGACTAAATTAAAACATTCAGCTTGATCTGTTATCAGTGGTTCCTATACTTTGGTCCCCAGATATTCTTAGACTACAACTCCCAGAAGCCTTCACTACTACCATGTTTTCATAAGACAGGGTTTTATATTAATTTTTGCTCCAAAAATGCATTAAGGCTTATTTTCAGGGGATGTTTTATTTTATTTTTCATGTATAACAATCCACATTTATTCAAACACAGTCATGTCATCTTCTTCTGGTTGCTGCACAAGAGTGGAGGGGGGGGGTTCATTTAACTAAGGCTTATTTTACGGGTAGGGCTTATATGACGAGCATCCTGAAAAATCCTACTAGGGCTTATTTTCAGGTTAGGTCTTATTTTTGGAGAAACAGGGTAGCTATGTTGGCCAGGATTTCTGGGAGTTTTTCTTGGCAGGAAAGATGATGCCATCACCTGTCCCCTCTCCTCCATTCCCCTCGAGTCCATTAGCAATCCTTACAGTAATTGGAGGCGTGGATAGGTTTTCCTAGCAACACTATATTTTTATGAGATATCTCTTCTGTAAGAGCTCTTTACCACAGTTGTGTCTCAAATGCAAATTTAGGACCCCATTGGTTTCATAATATCTGCTCCTGATAGAACTAAAAACTGTTGGAGTTTTTACAAACTCGCATGCTGCCGTTTGCATGCCTGGGGGGGGATTTTTCTGTGCTGGGGTGACTGTCAATCTATCCATCACTAACCAATCACTCCTTCCGACCTCTGAATTCAAAGACAGCCCCGCCTCTCTGCTGGGTGGTTTGTTCCTTTCCCTCTCTTTAGTTTGCTGAAGTAAGTGCCCATTTGTTAGTTTGCTGTTGATCTATTCACAGCTGTAAGTAATGGAATGTTTTTTTTTAATTCTTTCTACTACGAATGTTTCAGAGTGAGTTGCGGAGACTGTAAGTGCCAGTTAATGAGAAAGAAGTGGACTATCTGGGGAATGTGAACTATTCTCCTCTGTGACTTCTACTGAAAGGAACTAGTTACAAATAAGAAGCCTTCTGTTAATAATTCTTGTCCCCAATAGCCTTGATGGAAGAGGCGTGGCATCAAAATGCAACCGGAAAGTGTTGGAGTCACACTCTTAGCCTGACTACCTTATAGGGTTGTTGTTGTGAGGATCAAACAGGGAAGTGGAGAGCCACATATCTTGAGCAAATCAGAGGTGATGTATATCATGATAACTAATAAACAATTGTTTCTGGGCTTCACAACTACATTCCATGAGAAGATCTCTTTGG